TGGCATGTGTGTGCCTGTATACACACACACACACACACACACACACACACACACATGCATGTATGTTAAATAAGAGGTTTTTTATTTTAAAAGAAAACATGCTGAGACAAAGAATAAAATAGGGGGTTATCGGATTCAGGGGAGCAGGAACCGAGACTAGTCAGAGTGTCTGAAGTCTAGAGGAAAATGTGTAACACAAGGGCTGTTCGGCCATTGTATTATTTTTGAGGGTTTTGCTAGCAGTGTAAATTTGGGATTCTTGCCACACTTTTTAAAAAATGGCTAACTCGAAGATGATGGACACTCTGATGTATGTAAACTACAGCAACACTCTATGTGTATCATAACATCGTGCTGCCCAGTTTAAAGAGTAGAGTTTAAATTAAAAATAGGTATGGGGGGATCAGTGGTTAAGAGCACTGACTGTTCTTCCAGAAGTCCTGAGTTCAATTCCCAGCAACCACATAGTGGCTCACAACCACCTTGAATGAGATCTGTTGCCCTCTGCTGGCATGCAGGCAGAAGACTGTGTACATAATAAATAAATAAAATCTTAAAAATAAAAAAAGAAAGAAAGAAAAAAGAAAAAAAAAGATATGGGATGGAACCAGATGCAAAGATCCACAACCAAGCACCAGGCTAAGCTCTAGGAATCCTGTTGAATAGAAGGAGGAGGGAACATATGAGCAAGGGAGGTCAAGATCATGATGGAGAAATCTACAGACAGATGAACCAAGCTTGTGGAAACTCATGAACTCTAGACCAACAGCTATCAAGACTCCATGGGACTGAACTAGGCCCTCCGTATGTGGGAGACAGTAGTGAAGTTTGGACTTCCTGAGGGGACCCTGGCAGTAGGACTAGGATCTAACCCTGATAATGAGCTAGCTTGTTGGAGCCCATTCCCTATGGTGGGATGCCATGCTCAGTCTTAATGCATAGGAGAGGGGCTTGGTCCTGCCCCAACTTAATGTGTCAGACTTTGTTGACTCCACATGGGAGCCCTTACTCATGAGAAGTAGTAGACTTGGGGTGGACTAGGGGGAAGGTGAGGTGGGGAGGAGGGGTGGGAAGGAGAACTGAGGCCAGAATGTAAAATGAAACTAAAAATAAATAAATAAATAAATAATTTTTAAAAACATAGGTATGAGGGCCAGGGAAGAGGCACAACAGACAAAGGTGCTTCCTATGCAGGTCTGAAACCTGAGTTTGATAACCAGAACCCATGTGAGGGTACATGGAAAGAACAGAGTCCACAAAGTTGTTTTCAGACCTCCATGCCCACACACGCTAACAATGACGACACACAGGCCAGGCTTCTGTGTGGGTTCCGGGGATCTGCCCCACCCTTGCACAGCAGGCACTACTGAGCCACCTCCCCAGCCAAAATCCATATTTTAAAAAGCTCTTTGGGGTCTTCCATTATTAAGGATGTAAAGAAACCCTGTGGCAAAAAAAAAAAAGTTGAAAACTGATAACACAGGCTATTCCTAAGAAGTGAAAACCCCACACACACACACACACACACACACACACACACACACACACACACACACACACACACACACGGAAAACAAGCTTTAAAAACAGAATGGATGGAGGTAAATGACTTACACAATTGTGGATTTTGTTTGAGCTTGTTATCAAAAGACATAAAAAGATTGTAGCACTTTAAGTTATTTTAATCAGGCTTTTTAAAGCCTACCATAAGAAGATACAATTAAGAAGTACTTCAATTTTATGAGACCATTTATTTTGAGACTCTTATTGAAGGGTACCCAGAAATGAAGACAGATAAGGACAGGGTCTGTGGCATGCTTTTCTTCTTCAGCCTCTTCATTGTAAATTTCAAGGAAGAGAATAAGAAAAACTGTCTTATTTTAAATGTAATTATTTCTATTATTCTAACTTCCGAGACAGAATAAAAAAAAAATTAAAAAAAAAAGAGGTGCTGAGTGAAAACTAACTAGACCCAGGCTTTGTCAGACTATTTTGTGATTTAAATCACTGGTAATGTTACCATCTTCTGGGCAAAATGGAGTACTGCAATTTTAAATGACAAGAAAAATGAGACTTTTTAACCATGCTTTTGATAAAGGACATTCAAGTATCCGCCCCCCCCTTATGCATTGCACCCTCTCACCAACTGCAGGTAAAAAGAACCTTCAGGGTTATGTGACTGAGACACAGAGACTGCTTAACTGTGTACAGCAGCTCAAACCTGTAATGCCAGCTCTCAAACTGGGGCAGAGAATAACTGAGTTCCAGGCCAGCCTGGGTGACAATAGTGAGTTCAAGGATAGGTTCCTGCCTCAAAAAACTATTTCCTATTGAGAGTTGCAAAAGTGCTGGATGGAGTGATAGTGAAAGGGAATGTCCTGATAAAGTAGGTGAGTGTGAAATGAAAGCCCAGCTAAAGAAACGATCGCCGATTTTTAAAAACGTTCCAGCACGCCAGCTTCACAGTGAAGTTCCCATGACGTACGTGTGTGTGTGTGTGTGTGTGTGTGTGTGTGTGTGTGTGTGTGTATGTGTATGTGTGTGTGTATGTATGTCTATGTGTGTGTGGTGCATATGTATGTATGTGTGTGTGTGTGTATGTGTGTGTGGTGCATGTATGTATGTGTGCGCATGTGTGTGTAGTGTATGCACATATGCATGTGGTATGTGTGTAGTATATACATATGTATATGTATGACAGAGTATGTGTGTATGCAATCTATGCATGTATGTGATGTGTGCATGTGCAGTTGGTGTTTTGTGTGATAGCACGTATATGTATATGGTATGTGTGCAGTATATCAGGGACATCAGTGTCCTGCTCTTCCTCTTCCTCTCAGTTTCTCACTGCATCGCAGCTAGGCTGGAAGCCAGCAAGCCACAATAAACCTCTCTCCAACCCTCCCAGCCCTGGGGTTAACACATGCTTGCAAGGTCACATGTGGGTCTTTATATGGGTGCTGGGATCAGAAGTCAGGTCTCATTCCTGCACAGCAAGTGCCCTTACCACTCAGCCATCTCCCTGGTCCTCCTATAACTAACCCTCCCACAGGAATAACATACTTTACAGTGTAGTAAGATAAAATTTGTGCTTGGCAACTCAACATGCATTTGATAATTTATTTGAGTTTCATAATTTGTCTTACTTCAACTATTTTTGAATGAAAGAGGTGAAGCAGGATAGGAAGACTGAGAACATCAAATAGGAAAGGATCCCTCACCCCAGAGTCCAGCTGAAGCCTCTTTCCAGCTGAGAATCGCTAACCCAGCACAGAAGCTGGAGAGATGGCTCACAGTCTAAAAGCACTGGCTGCTCTTCAGAGAACCAAGCTTCTGATTCCAGCACCTACATGGCAGCTCACAGCTGTTTGTAACTCCAATACCAGGAGACCTGATACCCTCTTCTGGCCCCCATTGGCACCATACACATGATATACGTGGTACACCGACATGCTCACAGGCAAAACACTCATGCACATAAGACAAAAATAAATAATTAATTTTTTTAAAAAAAACACTATGGCTCAGGATCTGGGTCTGGGGAAAGGGCTTCAGGTACCATGTAGGTGGCCAAATGCCCCTGAAAGAGCCCAAGTAGGCCAAAGAGATGGGTGGAGAAGATGAGGCACTGGGATGGAAGAAATGAGAAGCCAACAGCAAAGGCTGCAGGGAAGGATGTTGGCTGCAGAATGAATCAAGGAATCTGTCCAATAGTAAGCTGTGCCTAGATGAAGTGACCTTGTCCACTCCTGTTTTAACACCTGAGTGCCTCATCATCACATCTTTTGCTACCTATTGCTAGAATGAAGTGCTTTCTTGGAGCCTACTGGACATTGGTAAAAATAAGTAAAAATCATAAAGTAAATCCAGTCTCAGATCCTGCTACCGCTGACTGTTCTTCTTTGCTCTGTTCTGAATTCTGTGTCACTTTGAACTCATTTAAAAGGATATATGTGTCTGTATATACACACACACATATACCTAGTCTGGTAATAAACCCCCACTCTGCTTCAAACTGCCTCACTCTGAAACTCTTTTCTACATGAAGCCAAGGACCCCACTCTACCTGTGTTGAAGTCCCTAACTGAGGTCCTCAGCCCCCTGTGGGTGGAGGTGCAGAGCCTTGTCTCTGTCCCTATTGCCACTGACTGAAGCATTCTTTCTTCTTCACCATGGCTGACATGGTTTTCACAAGAAATTTCCCCAAACATACAAAGATTGATCTACTTATTAATGGCAATCTACTCCAAACACCACCCTTTCTTCTTACAAACACTATTCCACTAAACTTCAACTAAAACTAATAAAATCTATTTATGTGTACACACCTAGACATATGTACTCAAGCAGCCTACGGCTCATAGGACTCAGAAGGAAGTGGAATAAAGGCCAGAGAGATTAGTTATCTGTTTCATTTTTATTAGTCTTTACCAGTTTAAATTGACCCACATAAATCTGAGCAAAATTTTTCCTTAAAAGCAAAAGTCCAGATTTAGAATGAAATAAAATACATATAGTTAATCCCTTGCTACTACTTTATATAGTCAAAACTATAAAGTAGCCTGGATTATCTCCATATTCTTTTCACTCTGGTTTGCTTCCAATGCAATAATAGATTTGTAATGTGCACAGGAGGGGAGGGGAAGGGAGGGGAAAGGAGGGGAGGGGACACAAGCATTCAAGCACCTACCTTTCCCACTGTTAGTTCAGCAATGATGGTTGGATCACTCTCTCACAACACCCAGTGGACTTCTCAGAAATAACAGTGGATGCTGTAAACTTACAAACTATATCACTTGTTTCTCTAGAGTAAGGGATTATTAAACTAGTTTTAATAATGTGAGTTTTTTAAATAAGCACGTATACCGTGTCCATCTGATTAATTCATCTAAAGGGGACACCCTCTCCACCTTAAGAACATTAATTATCCTGACTAAAAACAGTACCAAATAGGAACGTGTTCTGAAAAAATAAATAGCCTTTGACTAATTCTCTCCAACCTGTTGATTGCAGTGTTGGTAAACCATGTGGCAGCTGAAGGGTGAACAGAGGCGAGTGGACACTATTTCTGAAGAAGTCCTCTGTCGCTTTAGACTGTAAAACTTTCGTTTCCCAGAGCTGAGAGGGAAAAAAAATACTGTTTTATTTTCATTAATAGTATTCTTGAAAAACACTATTATGATGTTGTTTTTTCTTAAGTGTCTATGCTTTCAGTGGACAACACAAGGAACACATACTAACACAACTGAAGGGCGACAAGTAGTATAATGTATCAGGATCTGAAGACAATACAGGAGAGATGTGAGCACAAACCTTCTTCAGGTCTTTTAACACCTGCTCTTCGATGCCTTCCTCAGCAAACAGGTCCCGCACACCTTCAATTACGTCTTCAATTACAGATCGGTAGAGTTTGGGCTACATGAAAACAATTGTTAGAGGTTTTGGTTCTCAAATTAGAATGGACTTGCCTTTAAAGGATGTGAAGATGGGGGCTGGAGAGATGGCTCAGTTAGTAGAGAGTGCTTGCTGCTCTTGAGGAGGTCCTGGGTTTGATTCCCAGCACCCATGACAGTCGGTTCACAACTGCCTGTAACTCCAGCTTCAGGGGAATCTGCCGCTTCTTCTAGTCTCCTGGGGCTGTACTCATGTGTGCACTCACATTCCATGCAGATGAGCACACAGATACACATAACTAAAAGTAAATAATTAAAAACACGCTCTCCAGTCCTTGGTTGGAAGAAAACCATCACAGTTGCTAAGAACACCCTGCTCCCGGTATGGTCTTGGCTGTTTATAGATTGTATTCGACGCCTGTCATCCTCGGAAACCCTATCCACAAGGCTGAATCATAAGACTACACCACACCTGGAGGGGATCTCACAAATGTATGGGTGTTAAATACACCTTCCTGTTCCTTTTTGAAAGGGAAATTGGAGGCAGCTGGGAATAAGCCTGTTTCCAGGCAACCCTTTCCTCAACCTAGCTACTAGAAGTGAACCCCCATGGATGTAAATGAACTTCAAGCCTTAAAATTGGGCCAATCAGAGCTCGCCCTGCTTCCAAGCTAGACATGGAGAGAGGGCTGTTGTAACCGTGGTCAAGTAAGAGCGCAACCGTACCCCCTGCGTCCCAGTGAATGACCTGTGATGGTCACCAATAAGTGCATGTTGAAACCAAAGGTGCCAAAACCGTGCCATGAAACAAAATGAGGCAATCTACCCAGAGTAACCTATTATGCCAACAGCACAAGAAGCATGTGAAATATACTCCACCTTTTGGGTCTATATATAAATCCTGCCCTCTCTGGGTTTCCTATGCAAACGATACTGATCCACAGAAAACACGTGGTAAAACAAGAACTCCAGTTGCTCTTATCCTGGATGGCCTAATCCATCCCAAATGAAAACTAAGGCATCCATGGACTGGTTTTTCCCACAAAAATACTCTCACTCCAAGAACAGCACACTTTGAACTAATCCTTCCAAAGATTCACAGTAAGTCTATGAATAGGCCAATCAGGAACATCTAAATGTTAGTCACAGGCATGCCCATTAAGACTAAGTGCCCCCAAATGAGTTGCTTCTTCTAAAACAGTCTACCCTGATAAGGGCTTCTAAACGGATGCTTGGATTTTAATCCCAGCTAAATGATCACACTCTAAGAGCTAGAGAAAAAAAAAAAAAAAAAAAAAAAAAAAAAAAAAAAAAAAAAACCTCCTAGGGCTAAAAACATCTTTTAAGACCTACCCCTCGGAGTCTAACAGCAGCAGTCCAAAAGAAGCCAATAAAATACAATTTTCCAAAAGCAAAATAAGTATTGAGCGTGGTCTCTCTTGTAGGACTACTGTTAAGCTTTATATTGCTTTCTCTGTGTTATCTTTATTAAAACTATATATAGTCTGGACCTCAATCTTACCTGCGTCTTTTGTCTCTAAAAGAAAACATACTCTCTTTGGCTGTCACAGTCAGGCAAACTGGCATACATCCTTCACAGTTGGTAAAGCATCAAAAAGTGAACATACATGAGTACGTCTCTGAAAACAGAACCTTTCGTGCTACATAGTTACACACGAAAATATACAGACACAAGCCTATCCGGGCTGCCCATCATCTTTTGGGAAATGTGCATCTGTTGGTATTGGTTTTGCCTTTAACTTGGGTTTTTACTTGGAAGGAAGATCTAGCAAGAGCTGTTTTGCCGATAAATTCTCACCGCATGTGAGGTTTATGGGTTTTGCATTTAAGCATTAAAATATTAAAAGACATGGAGCAACAATCCACCTACCATTCCAGGTTAGGGAGTAATAGAGCATGAACTAGAGTTTGGGCTGGAGTTTGCATTGAGAGAAGGAGGTGGAAGGAACCCAAGTCGGAACACAGCCTGGGGTTACTTTACACGACCTTGTTAAAAATAAATAAAAAAATAATTAAATAAATAAATAAATAAATGGGGGCTGGAGAGATGGCTCAGAGGTTAAGAGCACTGGCTGGGCTTCCAGAGGTCATGAGTTCAATTCCCAGCAACCACATGGTGGCTCACAACCATCTGTAATAAGATCTGATGTCTTCTGGCATGTAGGCATACATGCAGGTAGAACATTGTATACATAATAAATAAAATGCGTTTTAAAAAATAAATAAATAAGTAAATAAATAAATAGAAAGCAATTGAACGTGGAGGAAATCATCCTGACCTAGGATGCTACACACTTTCTAGTCCTAACCTAGGTATCTCCAACTGGAGTGGGAAGCACAACTTTTTTCCATTGAGACCAGAACCCACTTGACTGTCTTCAGTCTCCTCTAACCCATGGTGAGACGGGATGCCTATCAAAGTCTGTGACTTGCCATGGAGGGCTAAAGGGTGTCAGCAAAGCCTACCCGCCTCCTTACCACCAGGTTGACGAAGGCCATGCCAGCGGCTGGGTGCCCGACCTTTTGTGCCTGCATGGCAGAGAGCCTCCAGGCTTGCTTTTAAACCGTGGCTCTCGTTGCTGCGCAACCGCAAGGACGCTGTGGGGCGGAGCTTAGTAGGATGGGACAAGAAAGAAGGTTCGTGATTGGAGGGATGGAGTTTGGGCGTGGCACGGGTGTGGGAAGGCGCCTAGCCAGCTTTAGCAGACTAAGTGGACCTGTGCAGCCACGGATGGGGCAGCTTCATCTTTGAAGGATGTAGGGAGAAGACAGATGAGTCATTTCTGCTTTTACCAGTTTGTCATGCATTCCTAAACCTCACTCGAAGCTGCACTCCATGCTGCTACACAAAAGTGTGACAAGAGCCAAACTCTTCTATAACTAGCTGTTGAAGTGGGGGCAAAAGCAGCAGCAACCACTTTACCTGGGAACCTGTTAAAAATACAAATGGGAGTCATAAAGATGCTTGCTGCCAAACCTGACCCATGTGCTAGAAGGAAAGTGGGGCTCTAGAAGCTTGTCTGCTGACCTCCACTGGTGCGCAGGCACACAAACGCAATCCATTCATCAATCCATGTAAAAGAACTAACACAAACGACTAAGGATCCATAAAGGCAAACATGTCTCCTGAATCAGAGACTGGACATCAGGGACCCGGCACACAGTGACTTCAAAATGTTCTCCAGGCAACTCTTTTGGGTGTTAAAATGAGACCCACTGTCCTAAGACACAGTCAACATTGGGTCCGCATGAAAATTACCTGAAATTCTTTTCAAAGGTTTGCCTGAGTTTCCCTGAGAGCATAGGTTTTAAAATGCAGCGATGATGGAGAAGTACAGTTTAAACCAGATCAGTTAATCCCCAGTGCCACCATGGCTCCTTTGCTCTTCAGGCAGAAGTCTCCTTCTTTGTCCTGTAATTTTATTCTCTCCCACCCACCGCCTCCTCTCTCCTCCCTCCCCTCTCTCTCTCTCTCTCTCTCTCTCTCTCTCTCTCTCTCTCAGATTTAACTAGCTAAAGCTGAAGATGGATTTAAGCATACATAACCCCACTAGTTCAACAAGGAAAGAACCCATCTACTTCCACAACTCTGCCTTCAAACAGCCTTTTGGATCTGAAGATTGATCTCCACCTAACAGGCAGTTATGTGATGATTTTAAAATCCCATTAGGGTTTAGAGTTGTCTGCTTGCGTATTTGTGCGTTTAAGTGCAGTAGAACTGTGTGTGCTTGCCCACTCTGAAGTGGCTTGCCTGGACCAGGTGTAAGTTTCTAGCAGCTGATTTATTTGGTGTCATTTAGAAGACTTTTCCTAAATTGAAAACTACTGGGAATTTATTTTACAAAAAGCCATTAAGTATGTGTGGTGATTTTTAATGGTTACATCTCTATGTGGCAATTTACTACCAGGAATATTTAAAGTGACTTACCTTTCACCCAGAATAGAAAAGCTAAAAGCAAGCATTGATTCCTTCTGATATTATAAAATCCAATTAAATTATTCAAGCTGGGAAATAAGAAAGCTGAAAGGTCTCTTGTTTTCCATCTTTCTCCTTTCAAGGTTTTAAAATTTTAATCCTAAATGCATAGAATGGGCAACAATCTAACATTTTGTGACAGCATACCCTTTCTTTGTACTCCATTATCCATTATACCTTTCTTAAAGCTATAGAGTAGACCGAGTGTACTTTTAAATTTAAATTTAAATGTTGGTACCCATAAAAAGTGTGGCAACAACTGAAATGTTACTGCCTAGTGTACTTGATACACTTTTTATAGAAAAGCTATGCAACATTGGTTGGGTGATCTCACCAGCTTTCTGTGTGTCTTCTTGGTATCTGAACAATCACTGGTAGATTCTGCTTCAAATTCTTCCCAGTAACCAAAGACGACCATTAAAGGAAGGGTGGTTGAACTCAAGATCTAGGCTGTTAACCTTAGATAGGAAATGTCTCCAAAATACAGGTGTTAATGCTTGCTAGCCAAAGCGATAGTGTGCCCAGGTGTGGCTTCCAGGGGTCAATTGGGTCACTTTTGTTGTTATTCAGACCAAAACACATGACAGAAATAACTGAAGCTGAAGACTTATTATTATTATTATTACTTACAAAGACTTATTATTTTACTTATGAGTTCAAAGGATTCGGTCCATCAAGGCAAAACAGTTCAGTTGTTGCTGGCAACCTTAACAAGCTAGGCTCCATCACCCATCCTTAATAGACTGATTAAAGAGATAAATACCAGTGACAAGCACAGAAAGGAGACTTGTTCGATGTGATCACACTGGGGCGAGGAACACATAAAGTGACTGTGACTCCAGTGTCCAATTTAGTGTCTTGATGTGGGTTTTAGTTTCAAACAGAACAAAAGCTTTCTGTAACTACTCAGTCTCTGACAATCAGCTGTGGTCCCGCCCATGACCGACCATCATGGTCTCCGCTCCAATCTCCCCTGTAAGGTGATCTGACAATCTGGCAGCACGAGTGAAATCTCTTTTCCAGAGACAAGTTCCTTCTGCCATCAAAGTCCCAACCTTTCCCTTGCCCAGTATGAGCCTCCTGGGAAATTCGAATTGGGATCAGTTGTCTCAGTAATATGATAGCTTCGGGGAGGGGCATAATTGTCTCTCTTGAGATGATCTTAGCAGGTCAGAGAAAGAGGAGTGTCACCCTCTGTCGCTTTCCCCTTCATCCTCGCCTATTCTGGTGGGACTCACAGCTGTGGTGTGGTATTCTGAATAGTCCTTCTGCTTCAGTTAATTCTCTTTTAAAATGATCACAGGACATACCCATAGGTGTTGTTCATCAATCTTCTAGGTTGAATGAAAAATAAAAAACAATTAAAGGAAGGACATGACTGCTCCTAGGTAAGGTGGAGGAAAAGGTTTATTGTAGATAAAAGGGAGAAGATAGCCAGAGGCCAGGACACCTGGGAGAGTCCATAGTGAACATGACTCTCAGCCATGTGAGGAGAAGGGAGAAGGGAGGGGAGAAGGGAGAGGGGAACCAGGTTCAGCGGCCAGTAGGCCCAAAAGAGACTAGAAGACAGGACCAGGTAACCATAATGGTTGGATTATACAGGGAGGGACAGGTGGGGGAGGACAACCCAGCCCCTGGGCTGGAGAAGTTTAGGGTAGGGGTTGGGGTATGCCAGCCAGAAGGAACCTGTAATAGGTAGGGACTGAGAGATTCTGGGAGAACCTGGCAGCTGGGTCCACTTTGCTATTTTAATAGGCACCTCAGTTAGCCATTTGTCCCTGGCTTGATACCTAAGATCCCAGCCTTTCTATTGACAATAAAGGATAAGTGGTGATATAATCTTTTCTATGACTACGTCCTGTTGATACTGGGGTGTCATTGTTGAGGACCCAAGAAAGCTGCAATGCTGGCCAAAGCCAGGAAAAGCAGGCTGCTTCACTCACTGTCCAGAATCTGAGAGACCATCTGGGGCTAGGGAAGCTCAGACCACATTGGAGCAGTTTGTGAGGCTGGACCAAATGGGGCGAGCTGCTTTGGAGCCATCTAGAATGCAGAGGATCAGACTTGTCGGAAATTCTGTCAGAAGCACGTAAGGATGGTGACTTTGGAGCAGTCATGTTAAGGAGTTTAGGGGAAAAATTGAAATTTCCAGGCCCATGGTCCTGGTAGTTGGGGGAGGGGGAAGAGAGTCCCAAGACCAGAGAGAGGGGGAGTGATCCTACCCTCAGGAATAGGCTTTAGGGGAGGAAACAGGCTTTTGGTTTGCAGGAGTACTTATCTGGAATCCATTTGAGCCGTGAGACATGGATCCTGAAGCTTACAAGAATTTTTTTTAAGTTTACAAAAAGAGATAAAAGTTTTAGATATATTAGCATTACCACTGTTTGTCATCTGTCTTGGAATCCACCATGATTCACACCATTGAATAACTGTAAAAGCTTGGGGATCCAAAAATGATTCTGAGTTAAAAGCACCTATGAGTTTGTCCCCTTGCAGAGTCTGGTAGCAAGACAAACTGTTGGGTCTGTTGTTGTTAGCTGGAGACCCAATAGTTCAAGGACAGTGAGGCCTGAGGCATGGTTTTTACATATGAGGAGAAGGCAACTGCAGCCTTGGAGGAGGAGCTGTCATGCTCCATGCTGTTAAAGTTACAGTTAGTCAATATCATCAGCGATCTGAGGACACAAGATAGCAGGGGTAAAATCTAAATGGCTTCCTTATTGGTTAAAATGACTGACTTACCCACTATCTAAACAGTTGCCCTAGGCTCCCTTGATCTCCATGGGTCCTTGGGAGCAGGGGTTGGTCTTTAGATGGCATACAGGACAACCCAAAATTGTCCACCGTTTGGGCAGAGCCCGGGCAGCAAGTGAAGCATGGGGCAGCTTTGTGCAGTGGTTAGTGTTACCATAATGCAGGTGGCATCATTGTGCCCAATCTATCTTGTTTGGAAAACTCAGAGTCCCCACTATGAGCATTTCTGTCTATTGTGGGAAGCTTTTTCATTAAACGTTTTAAATGCCATGTTCGGCAAATCTTGGAAGAGCTTGAGGGCCATCTATTAAGTATACCTGAGTTCAGGTGTGATCTTGAAAATACATTAACTCGTATGTCTTGATTTTTCTCTAATGGTTAAAGTTAGTAGCTTTCATAAGAGTAGTGTTTTACAGCTTTATCCCTGTTAGTTTCATACTTAAAATTGAAGTTGAAGATTTCATTGAAAATCCTTTAGCATCAAAATAAAACTTTAACCATAAATTCAGCCCATAGACTGAGAATCCCACTGTCCTGATTCTTTTGTAGTGCACCATGACAGTGCATTATTACTATTATTATTATTATTATTATTATTATTATTATTTTATTTATTTTATTGTATGGCTTAGGTTAGCCAAATAACTAAAGTTTAACCAAGTGAACAAAGACAAAGAAGCTAGACATATATTACTGTGACCCTGAGTAGACCTTAGGAATTTATACACCTTATCAAATATACCTTATTTATCGAACTCATGTTACTTGT